ACATCAATATTATTATTGACATTAACGTCATGTAACATTACGCCATGTTTTCACATTGCTTACACGTATCTCATTTTACTGAGGTTAATCATTATATAATTTTATTATTATTCTTAAGCTCACTAACTAATCATTAAAGGAAAAAAAAAAAGATGTTTATAGTTCGTTCGCCTGTCTATCCGCATGATTTTTCGAAAAATAAATCGAAATTATACTGACAAAATCGCATCCTTAATCAAGCTATCCTCAACATCCTATTAATGTGACGACATAAATGCGTTATAAATGACGTCAATGACATCGTATATTACGTCAGTGTACGCAAATTAGTCAAAAATATGCAACTTTGTATTTTAAAAAAATAGTAATTTACTTTCATAATTTTTTCCTCGTTTAAATAATTAAAAAAAATTTATAAATTTTATTTTTTAAATTTCGGTTTAATTAACCTTAAAATTAAATAACCGCTACTATGTGTAATTTGAGATTTATGTAACTTACGTGTCACGTGTTACAAACATGGCGGATAGTTTCGAAAGGAAAGACTCGACCTTGCATTATTTTGTAAGGTACATCGACCCGCCAAGAAACAAAATCGATGATGAATGTGAAGTTCATTGCTATCAAGAAGTTGTTTTCTTGTTTTCTTTACTGTCAATCCGGTATTTTCATGACTTAAAGCTTTTGTAATGTTCATAAAGTGTAGCAGATATGAAGTCTCCCAGACATTTCTCTCAATGAATTTTTTAATTATACTGAAGATCATAAGAAAAATCATAATCCCGTGTACAATTTTATTATTTATTCTTCTGTACGATATTAAGTGGTATATACAAGCTCAATTTTGCTTTGTATTCGGTGGCTATGGGCAAAAAGAACAGTTTCCTGGGACCCCTACGAATCGTTTTAAGAAAATGTTTTCCCAAAACATTCTTCAAAGAAACCTGTCTGAAGGCAATACTGTACGTGAGGCCCTCAATTCAAATTCTCCTGTGCCCCATTAAGCTATAACGCGTCACTGTTTGTATTCGTTGATTTATATTACCCAAACTACGAGTATTCTAAGGTATGGCAGATGAAATAATAAAGGTATATCCATCTCCAATAAAGATATGTCAGTCTTGCAGACAATTGATAAGAGATTCTCACTTAGAAGTCGCAATTCGAGTAGTGGAGTGTTATCCTATGGGCAAAAACGGCAATTTCCTGGGGCCCCCACCGATAGGGAACCCCAAATCAATCTTTTTTATAAGAAAATTTTTTCCTCAAAATCCCCTCGAAAAAAAATGTCTGAAGTCAACACTGTATATGGGAACCATTAATTCAAATTTGCCTGACTCCATGAAGCTATAACGCACCACTGAATTCGAGTTCAAATCCGATCTTCATATTCATGATTATTTATGCTAGTTTAAGGGCAAATCTTTCGCTCTTTATCTCAGAAACCCATACGTCTTGTCCACACTCATTGACTATATTAAAAGTGAATCAAATAAATAACTAGAAGCATCCATGCTTTACTTCTAGCTGGTTATTTATTGATCCGCTCTTATACCTATTAATACTAATTGATTCTAGTTTCTTCTTATCAATATTTAACGATTTTATTCCATTAAATCTCATCTGTGATCAATTCTAATCAATTCTAACCTATTACTTGCCGATTTTAACCCGTTTCTGATCAATTATAATTCATGAAATTCTCTCTTATTAATGCTTGATCGATTCTAGCCTATTAAATCTTACTTCTTATCAATATTGAATGATACCAGCTTATTAAATTCCATTTATCATCCCTACTTATAGATTCAATCCATTACTAATGTTGATAGTTTTTAACCTGTGTCCATTACATAAAGCTAGAAAAAACTATTTTACATTTAATAATGACAAATGCATATTAACATATTTTTAAATAAAAAAAGCATTTAAAAAATATATATTTTTGCAGCATAAAAATGTCAAATAATTCTCGGTTGATATTGCTAAGCCCCTTAATTCTTTATCAGATTTTCGTCTCATTAATTGAATTAGAAATACGATAAGCAATACATTTATATATAAAAAAAATAAAAAATAAAATGCTCCAAGTAGCAGCCATTTGCTCTAATTTTTTGCATAATCTTTGCTTGCCATAGAACTTTAATGTAACAGAAAAAATTCTGAAGTTTTTAAACTCTAAAAAATTAGAAAAAAAACATATTAAAGACTTAAAAAACATTTTTTTAGAGATTTAAAAAATAGCTTTTAAATAAAATTTTCTTAATCTATCTTGTGTCTGGCAGCGATATTTCTCAGGGACAGATATAAAAAAAAGCTGTAAAAAGTTGAAATATTTCAAGTACAATCACTTTAAATATCTACTTTTTGTTAATTTTTATCTAATAAAGGGGCCTTTTTTCATATTTATCGCGGGCATGACCAGGCCTACCTATATTAGGGATAGATCCGAATAATTCCTAGGGGTTTTCGACCTCTGGGATCCCCTAGAGAGACGCTTTAACTGCTTTCCACTTGTTTATAATTATTTATTAACGTTTTAAATATTTAATAAAACTATAATTATAGAAATATTTATCATTTATAATACAATTTTTATATTTAAACAATATTAAAGTTAAATATTTTTTTGCTTAAGTTTGTTTCAATCATCTTAATTGCTTTATATCAATCCACATTTGGTCTCCATCTACCAAATGTTGATTTTAATTCCGAATTCTCAAGGGTTTGAGAAATTTAAAAGAGAAAATTTCATTTTTAATAAGTTAATTTTACTAATATTATTGACAATTTTAATTAATTTAAGATAAATTTATTCTTGAATTAATTATTGTCTCACAAGTCAGCCATTTTTAACAAAGAATAATATTTTTCAAATAATTTTCCTTTCTAAATAAAATAATGCAACAATTTTTTACATTAATCATTTTTAATTAACATTAATTAATTTTTAAAATTAAAGTTAACTTTTTATATAGATTTAAGTGTTCCCCCATTTAAATATATAAATAATTGAAAAGATACATTGGAAAACCATTAATAAATTCAGGATTAGTGAAGAATTTTAGCAAAATAGCTTAAAAATTTGAAATTTTTTATTGGTTTTTAATCTTTTTACAAATGTATTTACAATTTTTTTTATATATTGTTAAACCCTGATGTAACGCCCTCCTAAATAGTGCCACCCTCATAAAGTGACAATGAATACTTATGAATGGATTTTTCCATGAATTTTAAATAGAAAATTCTTTAGCATCTATTAACTATATATTAATTATCACTTCAATGGACATTGTTATCATCAAACCATGTGACTTTCAAATTGTGTGTAGACCTTATTACTACAAAGCCCACTAAACCACTGTTGATTGAGGTTTCGCGCCTCACGAACGAGCTGGCCACAGAGTTTTCAGGTTGTCTAACACCTAAACAGGGGTCAGTTTCTCACAGAAAGTCCTCCCGGCAGACATTCTTCCTTGGCAGATCGTCCTTGAGATACTTTAGTTTAACGCCACTCTCGATTTAGCATCAGTTTCAGGGGCAAACTGTTAGTAGCACTAAATCGAAATTTGGCTTCGTTTCTAAAAATAATTCTTAAACGTAATAATCAGCATCTACTTAATCATTTACAGACTATCTTATCTTACATTACATACTGTATTTATTCTCATTAACACATAAATTTTATTTCATTTTTAAGAATTTATTGCTTTAATTTATTACATAACTTCACAATAATTACATGCTATGTTACAAAATAAAAAAAAATTAAATTTCACATATTCTAAGAATTAAATATAAATATTTTGTAATTAAAATGTAAAGTTTATACTGTATATAATTTTTAAACTAAAAAAAAAGTTGGCAACGTTATTGCTGGACTTTCCCGACATTCTTTATTTTGTTTTTATCCCTAAATAATTGCTACCATTACTTTTAAGTCTTCAGATTGGCTCGGTAGATATTAAGGAGGTGGGACCATATCTCCCGAACCAATGGTCAGATTTTTCTGAAAATTTCCGAAAAAATTCCTCTCTAATATCCAAATCATCATGCAAAATTTCATAAATTTTCGACGAAGGGCACGGGAGTTATTAAGTTTCAAAGTGGATGGGCAAAATCGCACTCCCATACATTAACTTCCATACATACAGAAAAAAACCCAGTTTTTTTGCATTTCTGGAAGTTTCAAGGTCTCCCGAGTCCAAAAATGTAAAAATCTGGAGGAGGGGAGTCATTTTTGACCGATCTCCATACTTTTCCTCTATTATACTGTACGTAACAGCCGTGAAAGTATTGTATAAAATTTAATTATTAATAAAAATATTGAAAATTTTTAACGAATTTTTTACTCTATATTATTTTTTTTCTTTCTGTAAATAACAATTATCTTTTTCTATTTTATCACTTTATCTTGTTAACAGCGATAAATATTTAAAAACTTTTATGATAATAATAAATAGGGCAATAACAATAGTAATTAAATATACTGTACTTGATATTGAAGAATTTAATATTGCAAATATTTAATTATACAAAGATAATTATACGAAAACAATTTTAAAATGAAAATTTATTTGATCCTTGATCTCAAAAGAATTTATTTGTATGCAATGTCCATATCAAAATATAAATTTCAATCATTTGAAGCTTAAAGTATGAAGAAATGTTATTTATATTTTAAATAAGGTTAAATTTTTAAATATATATATATTTTTCTTTTGTAATTAAAAATGATTGCAATAAAAAATTATAATAAAAATTTGTAAATTTATGCAATATTTTTTGCTATGAATTGAGACTTGTAACAAATTTTTAATTACATTTTTCTGCCTTAGAATGCATTTGGAATATCAAATAAATTTTCAAAAATATGCAAATTTTTTAAAAATTTCAAAAATTTAAGTTAAAACAGGAGTTAAGCATTTTTTTCCGTGATTTTTACAACATTATTCGTTAGATATTACACAAGGAATTCCCGAATGCAACCAGAAAAACCCTAAGAAAATTGTTGGCGTTTCCACTGATACGCCTTAGTATAGGTGTATTTAAATGTTAGAATGAGAAAAAGAATATCAGAAAATGTAGAAATAATAACGCATAACGTTATCCTTGATCTTTATTATGTATAAATTATGCTTTATAATGGTTGCGTAATTTATGACAATCGTAAAAAAACTGACCAAGACTGACCTTGAATTCAAAGAAGCATTTAGCTCCATTCAATGCTGTTGACAAGTTTTACAATTTTCTTTTCTTTTTCTACGAAAATTAGCGTTAAAAGCCCTTCTTAGAAAAGCAAGGTGAGTTATATTGTTGATATTTTTGAGAAGAAAGTAAAAAGAAATTCATTTAAATACATTTTTGCTTAACTACAATTCAAATATTGATAGGTAAAATGCAAATTTTCATTGCAGAAAAGCAGTAAAAGTGTTTACTATAATCTAATTTAGAAAATGCAACTGTAAACATATAAAAAATAATAATCTTGCATTATTTATTTACTTCTAAAAATAAAAGTATCATTATTATGCTTTTCTAATTAAAAATTAAAGTTTCTGAATGAAAATCTAGTAGAAAACATAATTTTAATTATCTTATAAGCTGCATATACAGCTAAAAATAGTTTAGCTTAAGCTTTAATGTAGAATATTTCATAACAGTTTGCAATTAGAACTGGTTCTGAAACAAACATAAAATTAAATCTACCTCTAGATATATATAATTAATGAATTTATACACAACTTAAGATAATTTCAATATATTTAATGTAAAACATCAATCTAATTTCTATCTGACATATAATTTATCCAGTTACAAAACTTAAAATACTGTAAATATGCCATGAAAAATTAAATTTTATATAACAAAAAACAGTTTCTTAATCATGATATATGTCTGTGAATAACTCTTAAAAGCTATTGTAACCTTATTTTATTTTTTCTATATAGATTATGTAAGGGGGAAAAAATGTAACAAGTTTAATTTTATAAATTATACATTCAATAAATAATTTTAAAATATAAATTCCACTTTTAAAAATGAAAAAAATAAGGATATTTTAAGAAAATGTCCTGTCATTGCTGAATACAAGATGACATTTCAACATAAAGATTTTTTAACTGATTGCTAGAAATAAATAAATAAATATTAAAAAAATTAATAATAAATTACCTTTTTTATAATTAAAATGAAATAATACATCAATAAATATATTTAATAAATAATAATGCTTACATAAATGTAGGGATTTCTGAGATTTGAACTTTAAATATTTAATGACTAAACATGATCTAGACTGTAATAACTTCTCTGTAACATAATTAATTATTTTACTTATAAATTTATTTATTTCTTTATAAAATAAACTTATGATTTTCTTTCATTTATAATTTTTTTTAAAGAATATATCAAGCTAATATATAATGTTGTAATATTTATTTTAGTGGAATTATCTGCTTAATCTATTCCACTAACTTTATGTTTATAGTAATAAAATTTAATTTTGATAAGAGACAAATCTCTGATCTACTTTAAACATGGATTTAGCTTTTAAAAACAAATTGTTTTCACGTTAAAAAAAATTAAAAATAATTAATAAATTATTTTAAATTTTACTTAATTAAATTGTAAAAAAATATTTGTATAAGTTAAAAATGTATTTTTATATTTATTTAAAAATGTTTCGATGTTTAATTTTTAAAAACAGATAAATTATTATTTCAAAATTTTGAATTCAAATTCAAAACTCCAACCGTTAAAACGTTGTTTTTTTTTCTTTTTTTAGAAAATTAGTAAAAGTAAATAAATTAATAATATGAATAAATTTAAAAAATGAATTTTCGTAGTATTTAAATATAAAATAAACTTGTTTTTAAGTATTTTTCCCCTTTTGAAACTGTATAAAGTAGCACCTGTTAGAGGATATGTTCCATATGAGAAGCTGGAGGTCGAGAGTTTAGTATATAGTCTCGTGACTAATAAGTCTATGATGTCAGAAGACGAGAGCTGAAAAGTTCGTCTGCCACTTAACAAATTTTCGTCTGCATTCGACGATCGGCGCAATTTTTTTTTAGAGAAACGAGGTCAGTTACTTAAATTTAACTTATAAATTTATTTAAAATGTTTTAATTTTAAGAAACGAAATTACAAAGGCGAGATTCGTAGACGTTTTAGCGGGTTCAAAGTCCAAAATACATTTTAAAGTAGGTAATAACTTCTATAAGTATATTTACAACGATCTGTTGATCCTTTTTATAAATAAAATATTCAATTTAATTTAAACAAATTCAAATTTTCATGCTTGTAATATGATATGTGCCATTATTTTCTAGGTCTTTTTTTTTCTGTATTGATGATGGAAACTTCTAGAATAAGTTACTTTGAATTGGAAGTTTAGACCAAGAAACTGCATATTTAGAATTGCGCTACGAGGAAGAAACTGGAAATAAAGCACTTTTTCATGCTTGTATTCTATGCTTTAATGATAAACATTCAAAGTGTCAAGCTTGATGAATAAGAAGGGCAAGCCATTTTGGTAAGTTTTTTTTTTTTGTTTGTTTTGTTTTTAAAGCTGTGAATAATGAAATATGCTAATAAATTCGAAAATATATAATCTTATACATTTATATGTTTTCTCTTAGTAATGCATATGAAGTAACCTTTCATATGCATTATTGAGAGAGTTAGTTATTTCATAAATAGAATTTAGAACTAATTTTATGCTTAACTAAGTAACTTACACAATCAAATTTACCGTGGGCGTCTGCAGAGGGGAACAAACGGGACACTTGCCACCCGGGATCGAATAAAAAATTCTACATATTATAATCGTAAAAGTGAGATATGTGACCTTATGTTAGTGGAGCGTGGGGTCCTGGCAAATTTAAATTATGTGCCCTATGTACAGTGTTGATTCTGGACATTGTTTTTCTTATAAAAGATTGTTTGGGGTTCCAATTGGTGGGAGCCCCAGGCAATTGCTTTTTTTTTTTTGCCCGTAGAATAATGCGCCACTGCTTTACATCCTCGACCAAGGATGCTTTCTGTGTTTTTGTATTGAAGGAATACAGTATCATCAATCTACTTGTGGGAAAAAAAACCTCTTCCAAAATTAAATAATCAAATAAGAATTCATTTGATGTAATTATTAGTCTCCAAGCTTTCTTCCCTGGATCAATTTTCTGCTGATGACCATGATACCTGCCATTTTATAACTCCAGAAATTTAAGTAGCATTTGAGAAGTTCTTTAAGTTTAAATTTCTGAAAAATAAATATTTTAAATTATTATATATTACAAAATAAATTATTATAGATCAAGCGTTAAATGCAAACTTACACTTTAGCGATATAGTTTTTTACAATAAAATTTGACTTTAAGCAATGTATTTTATAAATGAATATATATACAAAATTTGAAAATGGGATCCATTCTATTGAAATTTTCAGAATATCTATTAAGTAATTTATGGTTACTCACTAGTACGGAATATATGAATGTTATTGATCAATATTCTCACTTTATTATTAATTTTATCCATCAATAATTAATTATTTTATTAATATCAATTATATAGAAATACTGTATATAAAATGTATTTACTTCTGTACTTTTTTAATCATAAACGATAAAAATAAAAAAAATTTAAGATATTTTCGAAGTATCAATTTTGACTCCGTTAATGTCATAATATATTATCATTAAATTTCGAAATAACGCAATAAATTTATTTTATTTTATATTATGTCAATGTTAAACATCTTTTCTTCTAATTAAAAATAACAAAAATGTGTAATCATTTTTTAAATCGATTTTAATTACAGTTTATCGTACTTTTATTTTGCATATCATTTTTCCCATCACATGACTAATTACTATTGTTTTTATACATGCGAAAACATAAAATATAGTTGCAAGTATAGGAAAATTATACAACTCGACGTTAAAATTCAATCATAAAGTTATATGTAGGAGCAAGTTTAAATACTTTCCGCGTCGAAATGTGTATTTATTATAAAATCTAGTTTCTATTTAGGAATTTAATAATTTGTAGTCTCATCAGTAGCGGGAATGATTATAAACATTGTGATTATTTCATGCAAAATGGTTAAGATATCTAGTATAAAAAAAATACTTTCGAAAACTNGCCACTGTTTGAGAGTATGAATGGAAATTGTCCGGATGTTCACGTACTTTAGAAATGAAATTCGCATATATACGTCTATTTTAATTTATTACATGAGCATTGTATTATAATCCATTTCTTGATAAAATACATAAAAACTTCTTAAATTTATAACATATACGCAAAAACAGTTTCTAATACTTCAATAATTACCAAGAGATAAGAAATAAGTCTGATAAATTTTTGGTTATTGCGGTTTCGTCTCTAGCAAACAGGATAAGCTTGCATTTTATTTGCGTAAGGTACGATCTAGTTGTTTAAATAACTAAAATTTATTACAAAAGCTACTAGATTCACCGTTGCGAAATGCAAGTCCTTATTATCATGGTTGGTTGAGTTTCTGAATATTAGATCCTATAGAACTCGTTTTTTAAAAAAGTTTCGTTTTCGAGCAATTCTTTGAAATTTGGTACATTGTTAGTTTCATCTATAAGTTACCTTGTACTATTTCTTTTAATAACAGATATTCCAATTTTCTATGTAATATTATAAACTTCTAAATCGTTACGAAATAAACTACTAAGCTACTGTACAGTATTTATTTTTCTTTAAATTAAAAAGGTCAGATATTTATAAAGATGAGGATATTTTAAACCCGTTTCTTTTTAGTAGGGTTGTTTTTTTATTTTATAAATTAGATTTTATGCTTGCCGGATTTATATGGAAACATCCATAAATAATTTCTTTTTTTTTTTGTTCTGACACTTTATAATGATAACTAGATCTATTTTATTTTCCTTTGTTAACAGCATGGCATTTTTAATGAGGCATAATGAGGAAAAAAGACAGTTCGTTTGTCTTGTATTTTTTTTAATTTAAAAATTTCGAAATAACGCAATAAATTTATTTTATTTTATATTATGTCAATGTTAAACATCTTTTCTTCTAATTAAAAATAACAAAAATGTGTAATCATTTTTTAAATCGATTTTAATTACAGTTTATCGTACTTTTATTTTGCATATCATTTTTCCCATCACATGACTAATTACTATTGTTTTTATACATGCGAAAACATAAAATATAGTTGCAAGTATAGGAAAATTATACAACTCGACGTTAAAATTCAATCATAAAGTTATATGTAGGAGCAAGTTTAAATACTTTCCGCGTCGAAATGTGTATTTATTATAAAATCTAGTTTCTATTTAGGAATTTAATAATTTGTAGTCTCATCAGTAGCGGGAATGATTATAAACATTGTGATTATTTCATGCAAAATGGTTAAGATATCTAGTATAAAAAAAATACTTTCGAAAACTTTCTAGTAACAGGATGATACTGACGATACCAAATTCCTTGAATTAAAAAGACCACTCCTATTTTCCTTGCAAGTTAGATACGTAACGTAAATCGAAATTGTTACTTTGTTCTATGTTAAAAATAAATAAATAAATAAAAATCTACAACACTTAAATATTCTTTTTATTTAAAAATTACTCTTGAATCATTCAGAGCGAGAAAATGATATTTTGATTTTTTTTTCTTGTTTTGCTTCAACGCTACGTAAACTATTTTGGCTCCATTTATTTTTTTACGCTTCACTGAATGAGATATATAGAATTCTGCACTCATATTCCTATTGTTCTTTTTACATATATTCACCTAGTTTCAGCATTCATACATATATAAGCATTATTCTTAAAATTACATAGAAAATGTTTCCTCTTTCAAGTTAATTACGTAATTTTTTTTGTCAACTTCTGTCAGGAAATAAGGTTTTTTTTTTTTTTTACTTATTTAAATTCGTTTCATCCGGTTTATAAGTCAAATTTAGTAAATTAACATGTATACGTTTATCTAACATATAATTATCTGTATATTAAGCTTATTGTATAACGCTTATCCGTAAATTTAAGCTTTATTGCATAACCCTGACTTTTAGATATAAAACTGGATTTTCTACTTTTCTTTTTCTTGCTTAACGCAATTAAAAATTCCTTTGAAATTTCTACCAGTTTTGATTTATGGCCTACATATTCTCTTTTTTAGAAATTTTAGGGAAATATGCAAATCAATTCCATACATTTATTAAAGTGTATAAAATGGAAAATGAATTTTTAAATTTATTTGTTGTCATTAAAATACATTTATTTTTTTATATATTAACTTTTCTATATTTATATATTATCTCATAGTCATATAATTCAGCGCGGGCGTTTATTACGAAACAATTTTCTTTTATCATTGTTAAGTCTGTAATAAGGATTAACAATGACATAAGAACGTTAATGCATTAAAATTTTCAATTTTTACTGTCAACATTATTTTAAAATATTTTAAAATTTAATATTCTATCTCAAACATTTCTTTTTTATTTTTTAAAAGAAAAATATGAGTATAATTAAATATTAAAATATTTAAACAGGTTTTTAAATTTAAGTTTAAGGCCCCAATTTAGAGAAAGCGGAAATATTCCGTTATGTAAAAAAAGGTTTAAAGGAGTCACATTTTTACTAACTGGTTATACGTTGATATTCTAGTCACGGTGCAGTAGGACAATAGTTAATGTTTTTCCTCCTAAATAAATATTTTATTAATTGAAAATTTAATTATATATTAGAAACCTAAGTTGTATTATAATCCATTTCTTGATAAAATACATAAAAACTTCTTAAATTTATAACATATACGCAAAAACAGTTTCTAATACTTCAATAATTACCAAGAGATAAGAAATAAGTCTGATAAATTTTTGGTTATTGCGGTTTCGTCTCTAGCAAACAGGATAAGCTTGCATTTTATTTGCGTAAGGTACGATCTAGTTGTTTAAATAACTAAAATTTATTACAAAAGCTACTAGATTCACCGTTGCGAAATGCAAGTCCTTATTATCATGGTTGGTTGAGTTTCTGAATATTAGATCCTATAGAACTCGTTTTTTAAAAAAGTTTCGTTTTCGAGCGATTCTTTGAAATTTGGTACATTGTTAGTTTCATCTATAAGTTACCTTGTACTATTTCTTTTAATAACAGATATTCCAATTTTCTATGTAATATTATAAACTTCTAAATCGTTACGAAATAAACTACTAAGCTACTGTACAGTATTTATTTTTCTTTAAATTAAAAAGGTCAGATATTTATAAAGATGAGGATATTTTAAACCCGTTTCTTTTTAGTAGGGTTGTTTTTTTATTTTATAAATTAGATTTTATGCTTGCCGGATTTATATGGAAACATCCATAAATAATTTCTTTTTTTTTTTGTTCTGACACTTTATAATGATAACTAGATCTATTTTATTTTCCTTTGTTAACAGCATGGCATTTTTAATGAGGCATAATGAGGAAAAAAGACAGTTCGTTTGTCTTGTATTTTTTTTAATTTAAATAATTATCTAATTGTTTTA